GTGCGCAAGATGGCGGGATAAAATGCATCCAAAATGCAAGTAGTGTGCACAAAACTGCGCAATGAGGTGCGCAAGATAGCGCGATAAAATGCGTGCAAAATGTAAGTAATGTGTACAAAACAATGCAATGAGGTGCGCAAGATAGCGCGATAAAATGCATGCAAAATGCTAGTAGTGTGCACAAAACTGCGCAATGAGGTGCGCAAGATTTCGCGATAAAATGCATGCAAAATACAAGTAGTGTGCACAAAACTGCGCAACGAGGTGCGCAAGATAGCGCGATAAAATGCGTGCAAAATGCAAGTAATGTTCCTAAAACAGTGCAATGAGGTGCGCAAGATAGCGCGATTAAATGCACGCAAAAAGCAAGTAATGTGCAGAAAACAGCGCGATGAGGTTCGCAAGATAGCGCGATAAAATGTATACAAAATGCAAGTAATATGCACAAAACAGTGCAATGAGGTGCACAAGATAGCGCGATAAAATGCATGCAAAATACCAGTATTGTGCACAAAACAGCGAAATGAGGTGCGCAAGATGGCGCGATAAAATGCATGCGAAATGCAAGTAGTGTGCACAAAACTGCGTAATGAGGTACGCAAGAAAGCGCGATCAAAAGCGTGCAAAATGCAAGTAATGTGCGTAAAATAGTGTAGTGAGGTGCGGAAGATAGCGCGATAAAATGCATGCAAAATGCAAGTAATGTGCAGAAAATAGCGCGATGAGGTGCGCAAGATAGCGCGATAAAATGCACGCAAAATGCAAGTAATGTGCACAAAACTGTGCAATGAGGTGCGCAAGATAACGCGATAAAATGCATGCAAAATGCAAGTTGTGTGCACAAAACTGCGCAATGAGGTGCGCAAGATAGCGCGATAAAATGCGTGCAAAATGGAAATAATGTGCACAAAACAGTGCGACGAGGTGCGCAAAATATCGCGATAAAATGCATGCAAAATGCAAGTAGTGCGCAAAAAACTGTGCAATGAGGTGCGCAAGATGGCGCGATAAAATGCATGCAAAATGCAAGTAGTGTGCACAAAACTGCGCAATGAGGTGCGCAAGAGGGCGCGATAAAATGCATGCAAAATGCGAGTAATGTGCACAAATCAGTGCAATGAGGTGCGCAAGATACCGCGATAAAATGCATGCAAAATGCAAGTAGTGTGCACAAGACTGCGCAATGGGGTGCGCAAGATGGCGCGATAAAATGCAGGTAGTGTGTACAAAACTGCGCAATGAGGTGCGCAAGATAGCGCGATAAAATGCATGCAAAATGCAAGTAATGTACCCAAAACAGTGCAATGAGGTCCGCAAGATAGTGCGATAAAATGCATGCAAAATGCAAGTAATGTGCAGAAAACAGCGCGATGAGGTTCGCAAGATAGCGCGATAAAATGTATGCAAAATGCAAGTAATGTGCACAAAACAGTGCAATGAGGTGCGCAAGATAGCGCGATAAAATGCATGCAAAATGCAAGTAGTGTGCACAAAACTGCGCGATGAGGTGCGCAAAATAGCGCGATAAAAAGCATCCAAAATGCAAGTAAAGTGCACAAAACTGTGCGATGAGGTGCGCAAGATAGCGCGATAAAATGCATGCAAAATGCAAGTAATGTGCACAAAACAGAGCCATGAGGTGCACAAGATAGCGCGATAAAATGAATGCAAAATGCAAGTAATGTG